CCCGCCGGGGTGGACACGTGGGGCCCCGGGTCGGAGTGGCTCCACCTCCCTCCTGCCCGGCACGGCGGCGAGTGCCTGTCCTCCAGCACTCTGGGAGGCTGAGGCAGGAGGTTCTAAGTTCCAGCCCAGCCGGGCGACTGAGCTAGCCCTTGTCTCAAAATGAAAATCTTAGAAGGGTTGGGGACGGAGCTTGGTGCAGGGGGCCCTGCTCCCCGCCTCCCTCCCTCTCCTGGTCGCTCCTCTGGCCCCCTCCTGCCCGGCACGGCGGCGAGTGCCTGTCCTCCAGCACTCTGGGAGGCTGAGGCAGGAGGTTCTAAGTTCCAGCCCAGCCGGGCGACTGAGCTAGCCCTTGTCTCAAAATGAAAATCTTAGAAGGGTTGGGGACGGAGCTTGGTGCAGGGGGCCCTGCTCCCCGCCTCCCTCCCTCTCCTGGTCGCTCCTCTGGCCCCGCACCTCTCCCGCTCTCTCCACTTCTGCGTCCCTCAGTGTACCGAGGCGATACTGCCCCTGCGTCCCTGTCCTCCGCTCTGTCTGGGCCCCTGCCAGCGGGGAGCCCGTTCGCCCAGACGTGCAGATAAGGGGCTCCCCGCCCCGCCGTCGACCCCGCCCCTCCCGGCGCCGGGCGGCCACCTCCAAGCCCCGCCAGTCCGCTAAGATGTTACGATCACGGTTACCTCGGCGTCCTGGACCTGAGCCGGCAGCTCCGCATGGTCTCAGACACCGACAGAAATTGCTTTGGTTGCACTTCTGACCCTCGGGAAAAAGAGGAAGCCGAGTCAGGAGTGTGCAGGGGGGACGGGGCCCTTCCTGCGCGGGCGGGACATCCGCAGATCACAGGCGGTTTGTTTGTTCGGATGAGGGTCACGACGCGCTGGCTCGGGTGTGAGCCCAGCGAGTTTGTGCGACGCCAGGGCAGTGTTTGGGGACAAAGGTTGTGCCTGCCAGGCGCAAAGTGAAACCGGGCCTCGCCATCGGCGCAGCCCGGCAGCCACACAGGAGAAAGGAACCGGGAGCCGGACCAGGTCAGCAGGACGGGAGGGCCTCACTGCAGGGGCCTGGGGGCTGAGAGGGAAAGTGACAGGGACAGGATCTGGAAGCCTCCAGGACCAGGACAGAGAGACGCGGGAGGTGGGGGCTGCAGCAATGCGCGGGAGTGACCGGCCCAGCCAGGGTCCCAAACCTCGCCCGGAGGAGGAGCCCTGGGACAAGACCTCTCTGAGCGCAGTGTGCGCCTCCGGCTATCTCCAGGATCCTCTGCAAAGGGGATTGTTCACCAAGACCGGAAGTCACTCCTGCCACCTCTGGGGTCCAAGCCTTTTATCGGGTTTTTAAATACAGTTGGTTTCCTATTTTTCCTTTTGGCCTCATGGCTCAAGGTGTCCTTTAGGAATCAATGAACGTTTATAAGGTTCCTCTAGTCAGCCGGGTGGCACAGGCCTGTAATCCCAACACTGGAGAGGCTGAGGCAGGAGGATCACAGCAAATTTGAGGTCAGCCTGGGCTACATAGTGAGTTCAAGGCCAGCCTGCACTACAGAGTGTGACCCCCATCTCAAAAAACTTAAATTAAATTTTTTAAATAAAAGACCCCTCTATATCCTCACAAACTGTTCATTCCCAGCTCCTCCACAACCAGCTTTGCTGGATACAAAGTGATATGTGGACATGTTGGATTTTTCAACAAAGGTAATTGGTTTTCAATAATGCAAGTTTTGTATCCTGGATATTTTAAAAATCTAATTTATCAGTCAGTCATGTCGCTCATATTTTGCTCATCCATCAATCCTACAAGATAACAGTAAGCTGAGTAACAATCAGCCTGCTTGACAACTTTTCCAAGTACTGTTAACATAACACAAGCATGTGACTGGTATTCGGAAAATGATACGTTAGAATCTACCAAGGAAGTGAGCTAATTTCTAGAGCTTCTGCCCTAATAAGCTAAAAGCACCAAAGCACTATTTGAGCCATTTGGGGGCCTCACACAGGGTGCCCTGTCAGCAGCGGAATGGCTGAAGAAAAAGACTGCCTGCCTAGAATGGACGGCATCAGGCACAGACCACTTTTCTCTTGGGAATCTGCCTTAAGTTCAATGGTTTTCAGAGATAATGGAGAGTAGGTGGCATGCACACAGGCAGGGTTTGGGAGCTGCCCTTTCTCCTTCTGACTAAAGAGTCCAGGAAAGTCACTTTGCCTCACCCAATCTGGGGCCCTCATCTGTAAACCAAGGCAAGTGAATAAGGGCGGCCAGGACATCCCAGACATTTTACTAAAGGTCTAATTCAGAAGTCATGGGTCAGGAAAAAATACAAGACACGAAGAGGTAAAGTAAAAGTCTAATTCTCCAGTTGAAAAGACTACTGGCTTCAAATATTATTTTTGCTTAATATCGTCAAATTTTTCTGAGCCCAAGTCTTTTGCATCTATGACAAGTGAGGAACAACCTTTTAAACTTGTTCGTGCACATATGTCCCTGCGCAGGACTAGCAAGGATTCTGAAGATGCAGCCCTCTCTCCTGTCCTTTCCCTTCCTACCCTTGAAGTTATTGGGCAGAGCACAGCTCAGAGCCCAGTGGCCCAAAGTGAATACCGGAGCTCCAGAGAGGGCAGAGAGCCCAGCAGGAGGGGCCAGAGTGGGCAGCTGGTGGTCAGCAGAGTCATGGATTGGGGAAGGTGTGGGCTATGTCAGGTAGGCATGTCAGTGTGCCCCACAGGGTCTGCTAGCATTCAGGTGGTTTGAGGGTCCCATCCTTTTCAACAAAGCCTACTTGGAAGAGAGGGAGTCTTGGGGTGGCTGCTAGAGCTGGAATGGAGTAGAGGGAATCCATGGTGATAGAGACGACCCCCACAGGAAGTGGGACTGGGCAGGTGACGCAGCTATCTGTGCTGACAGACACAGAGTGATAGTGATGTCCCCAGGGTGAGGCCAAGGTGCAGCAGCCTGTGAAAAGGGAAACCAAGACCCAGGAAGGATAAGGGAGGAACAGGGAATAAGGGAACAGAACTAGATTAATTACGGTACATCTTGGGCGGGGGGGGGGGGGGACCTTTTTTTTGTGGGGGGGGGGGGGGGGGATACCTGGTGTCAATGTCTAAGGCTTAAGGAGCATTCAGTTCATGGTTGTAGGCTCCAAGGCAGGGCCGTCACGGCAGAAGGACCTGGAGGAGCAAAGCTGCTCAGCTCTTGGTGGCCAAAAATGGAGAGAGAGAAAGGAGGTGGGGACAAGGGTGCAGGCTTCCAGGTCAGCCTCCAGCGACCTGCCCCTTCCCACCAGACCGCACTTGGGAACAGCGCATCACCAAGGGTGAATCTGTTCATGAGCACAGTGCGCCCACAGCCCGGTCACCACCCCCAGAAGCCCCACCTCTGAACAGGAGACTTAGCCGACACTCTGGATCCAAAGCAGGACAGCTGTACACAGGTGCTAGAGATTATATCTAGACGTCTCTCTAAGTCTCTTGTGCTCATAGATGGGGCTTCAGGGGATGACTGTGTGTGATTCTGGATTAATCTACTGATCAGTTTACAGCTGGGTATGATGTTGGAAGATGAATCCTAGTTGGAGGAGGTGGTCACTGGGGGCATGGCCTGGAAGGGTCTGTCTCTCTCCTCTTCCTTGATCTCTCTGTTTCCCACTGCCATGCCAGGAGCTGTTTCTCCTCTGTCATCATTCTGCCCTGCCTTGGAGCCAGCAGCATAGGGTGCAAACTGTCAGCCAAAATAACCCTGTCCTCCTTCAAGGTGTGGGTGTCAGGTATTTTGTCCCAGTGATGAGAAAGTAACTAAGACACAAGAGAATTGCTGAATGAATAAGTACACTGTGGGTTATAGCAACCTGTTTTCTCACAGTCAGAAAATGAAATTGGAAATGTGAAGAGGGAGAAAACAAGACTAAACCTCGCTAAAATTGGCAACGTCATAATAGTCTCCATAGAGGAAAGTGGAGGTCTAGACATTTGTACATAAATCCCATCCTGATCACTACAGGCCTGCGAAGAACATGCTAACAGCAAGGAACGCAATGACTGAGGCACTGAGATTGGCTTCCAAGTGTGATTCTTTAAGAAATGAAACCAGAGCTCCTGAGGAAAAGGGCTGACTCCAGCAGCAGATAGGTGAAGAACAAGATGAACCCGGAATAGCTCCTCATGCTTAAAAGTGAGGAAATGGGCCTGGCCAAAGATGTAGGAAATACAGACAAATTTATTTCAGGAGAAAAGGGTCAGATAGCAACTCAGAGTAGAAGTCTTTCTACTGTGCTAGCAACTTTTGTGCAACATTGTAACTATTTGTAACTTTTGTATAACATTGTAACTGCTTGCATTTTGTGAATAATATTGACTGCAACTTTTATGTAACTTGTAGCTATGTAACAAGGGGCTTATGTTTTGTATAACATTTTAATTGCTTGTGATTTTTTGTATAACACTGTAACTGCTTGCAACTTTTGTGTAACATTGTGACTGATTCCAAAATTTTAAAAAATGAGTACTATTAAGAAAAAGAAGTTTTAGCAGCAAATTACATTGATAGTAAAATTAAAATTGTGCTAAATCCTAATTTTATAAATTCCAATGAAATTAATGCCCTGAATATATCTTTCCACCATGCCTGCTGTCTAGGGATTCAAGGCTAAACTGTGACCCTTATTTTACCTCTACAGAGCTGAAATCATAGGTCAGAGATGTGAGACCAGTGCAGGGGTGGATATTTTAAAGGTCAAGGTAGAGCTGAACATGCAGGAGGCCCTCAATTCAACACACATGTGCACACACGTGTGCACACACATACACACAGCAGTGGTGAGACAGGAGCATGGACAACAGTTGGAGGGAAGATGAGACACTCATCCCAGGAAGGAGAATGCTAACTATGAAGCCCAGGACTCCTCAGAGTGGAGGGGACAGGCACAACATGGACCCGCCTGGAGCGCTGGAGCATTGGGTGCAATAAGGCAGAGTCAGGACAGCCTCCAAGTCTTGCTGGAACCAAGACATCCAGTCACACACAACAAACACCTGCAGGCATCTTCTGCTCAATGCAAATCCCCTCCCCGAGTTTAACCTTCCTCTTTGTTGCATTGCCAGTATTGAATAATATTCAGTCCTCATTATTACAAATATACTACAGCTCAGATTCTCAAATAAGGACAAAGCCAAAGACTACACCCAGATCACCTCTGTCTACTCGGCTGCTGATGCGGAGATCACGTGTGTAGGAACGAGTTCCCTGCAGTTCTCTCTGGATTTCTCCGTCTGTAGAGTAGGGGTCAAGGTAACTTCTGCTCTGTTTCAGTTTCATCACAGAGGAACTATGACAGCCGGATGTGCTGAAGAATGGAGAACCCCTCGCCAGCTGCAGGTGTCCTCAGAAACTAGGACTGCAGAGTAATGTGAGCTGGGTGACAGGCGTGGCAGCCGCCAGTGGGAACAAGGTGAGGCCACCAGCAATATCCCAGAACAAAGAGTGCTTTTATCCAGCAAGATTCGTGAAAGTTTTTTCTAGGAAATTAAAGCGCTAATCAGAAATAGATAGAAACATAGATAGTATCAAGTTTAATCCAGTTGCTCCCTGGATAAGGAAACACAACCCCAGAGTTAAGTGACTTGGTCAAGTGGCATATTTAGCCTGGAAACAAGCCCTGGCCTGTCTCTCCCATTCAGCCACAAAGCGAGTGCCGGCGACTGTCCCGTGGGTCACAAAAGTAGCTCCCCCAAGACTCACATCCGAAGTGCTTCTGGTCTGGAGCTGCTCCCCTCTGGAGGTCATTTGCACACAATGATGATTTCTGGAGAGCGGACTCGGCTCTGAACACAAAGCTCAACTGTGTTTCATATGCACCTTAAACAGACAGCCAGAAGGAAATTTTATAATATTCTTAATAATGTTATGTGTGGTGTGGAATTTTCCATGGATAGCAGGAGTCAAAATTTTTTAGGTTTTAGGTTTTTAGCATTTTGCATTAGAGTTTATGGTTTTAGGGATGTTCCGCTTGTACCCTTAGGACACAATTATTAGTCAATATAGTTTGATTAACTGAAACTGAAAATTGTGCTAACCTCTGCTTCCCTGGCCTGCTCCTCCTCCTCCCCTCCCCCTCCCCCTCCTCTC